GCTTGGAAATGCTTGGCCAGATATTGTACAAACAGGAGTCCCCTAAGTTCCCGATTAAGGAGGTATTTCTTGATTGGGGACTTGTAGTCATTAATGCACTGGCCAAGCATTGCTTCAGCTCATTCTTCAGCAGGCTGATGGCTTTGAGAAAAGGCGCTGGAGAAGTGTCTCCTAGAAGGTGCCGTTCGGCATGGCTGAAGGCTGATGCTGATGGCCGAAGGTTGATGGCCGAAGCTGATGGCCGAAGGCTGATGGCCGAAGGCTGAATCATTGGGGGATGTGAAGACATCGCACGTGCCGAATGATGATGGGTGCCGAAGGCCAAAGGCAGATGCCGAATCATTGGGGGGATGTGAAGACATCGCACGCGCCGAATGATGATGGGTTGTTGCTATAACACATGTTCCTTATAACACATATGTTCCATTGTTTGTATAACACATGTGTTCCTCATTTTTGGTATTACGTTGACACCTAATTAAATATATGTATCTCAAGAATGTCATGAGCTTGATAAGAAAGGCTACAATATAGCAATACCAAGTTAATTTTCTGGCATGAACTTGCCTGAACATATCTCCATTTTCCCCCTTTTACCTATAAAGTATAAATAATAGGTTTTAAGTAATATTTTCTTGTCATGTTTATATTGCCGAATATTTATGTTTGTAAACACATTTGGGCGAATATTCATATGTTTTGTACATAAGGTAAACAATCAACAATTAATAATTCTAACTCATAGGCTAACAACATAAATATATTTAAATTATATAAGATTATTTGACATTAGAACACTAGTACATGTATCATACTTATCACATATTAATCCCGAAAAAAGGCAAATGGCACCAATAATACAAATAAGGCTTTTTTATATATATCACAAATGGTTTATGAAATTATCACTTTTCATCCCTAACTTTTTTTTGTGACACTAATAGTCCTTAAGATTACTCTCCACACATCAAAATGATCCCTGCCGTTCTTAAGGTGAGAGATACTTTAGACCCAAAAAAAGAAAAAGCCGAGAGATTCGTTTAGCAAGGCTTTAAATACTTGCGGACAGATGCTCTCAGGACATAGATAGATTTGCAATTGCCTTTTGCTGTAAGATTGCAGATAAAGATAGATTCGTATTAACACCATATCAAGATGATATCCACATCGTGGATCCATTTGAGAACAATGTTACAGTAAAAGTCCTATTTGACAGGTTTCCCCAAAAATATCAATCGGCCAACAAACTTGAATATTGTGATGTAGAAGGAAATAAGAGAGCAATACTAGTGTTTTGAACAGGGACGGACCCAGGATTTTAAAATAGGGTGGGCTAAATTTACCTTGCATAGAAACCTATTAAGTCCATCGCTAATGCTAGCTAGATAACGCAAACCCAAAATTTTCCCCTCTAAAATAGAACAATTCATGTATATCTTTTTTATAGGGAAGGGAGAGTCCCCTTCTCTTGTGTTTTGTCGATGTGGGACTCCATTCCCTTTGCTTGGATTAGCTTGGAAATGCTTGGAAATGCTTGGAAATGCTTGGCCAGATATTGTACAAACAATTACAATTTTTAAAGTTGAGGAATGGGGTGTGTGGTTTTAATTTAAACAGAAATTTAACGGGGCAGTGTGATTTTTAATGTTAATTGTTTCTGTATGTGGAGATTTTTTGTTTGTTTTTATTTATGTGAAGTGTTAAATGTTAATAAAATTGGAAAAGTGTGGGGGGGACTAAAAAGGGAAGTTGCCTCACACGCAACTCCACCAAGTCAATGCACTAAATCTGTCAGTTGGAGTCCATTTACATGGGTTGATTGGAACTTGGGGAAGGTGTGCTGGGTTTGCTATTTTAGACTAGAAAAAGAAAAACAAATTTGCTTGGGCTATAGCCCAGGTTAGTCAGAAGGACGGTCCGTCCCTGGTTTTGAAAGGCAAGGCATAGAGGTGACACATTTTTTATTCATTAAAACGATGCGTAAGCCTTGAAGTGTTAAGTCGTAAGTTTTTTATGACAATACCGGCCGATTGGTTTAAGATGAGTGTGACAAGTAAATGGCTGAACTTCAAACTCTCTCTTAATGAATGGCCAAGATGAATGCTCGAGTTAAAAATATAGAAAATTTGGCATAAGTCCAATTCTTATGAGAGATGTTAGGTGCAATTCACGTAGAAGTTGTTGTTAATCCAAGTCCTTTGACTTTTGCGCCACATAAAATTACATGCCTTTTTGATTTATTGATGTTTACATTTTATTTAGTTATTTTTTTATTCCAATTATACCACTAAAACATAAATATAAGGTAAATTATGAATTTGTAAAATTGGTAAGTTATTGATTTGTATGACATTAATTATCATATTTGATTTGAATTTAGGGTCGTATTATTTGAACCCTACAATCCTCTCTTTTGACCCCACACACTCTTTACACCCCCATAAAATTTAAGTAAAATCTAAAATTATTCTCTACACTCATCACTTCTTCCTAAATTACCCTCACTAACCTAAACCCATCACACAAACATTTTATATTCACAACACATCACTTATTATTCAAATAACATAATACACCCATATTAAAATTTCATTGTTCTACACAGACCTCCGCATAAGTTATCAGATATGCAAACCCTAAGGATGCGACAACTCCACCGAAACACCATCAGTTCTGCGGTACAACTCCACCGAAACGCCAAGGTCGTAAACTCGATCTCGCAGCTGTCGTAAAGGACGCCACCAAAACTCCAATGTCGTGAAGAACGGCAAGGTTAGCCCCTCAATTTTGATTTTTAATGTCACATATAGACAGATTGGTGTAAGATTGCAGATCTGAAAAGAATACCACGTATTGATATTCTTGTCAAATATAGTGTAATTGAGAGAGTAAAGAGTGAGGAATAATAGATGTTTTGCAGAGAATTCTTCCTTATCTTTGTATTGCTATCATGGAGATATTTATACACAATGTAGAAAGGGTAACTATTAGTTACAAACAAGTATACAAAACCATGGAGCATTTCCAGGATTTGTGTCTCCCTAAAACATGGAAAATGTAAACATACCTAACTAAGACTTGCCTAACTATGACTTGCCTAATTATGACTTGCCTAACTTACTTGCCTAACTTATTTGCCTAACTCTTATGACTTGACTAACACTCCCCCTCAAGTTGGTGCAAAGATATCACGCATGCCCAACTTGTCAAGTGAGGCATAGAAAACTTTACTTGATACGGCCTTTGTCAGAATGTCGGCAAGTTGGTTTTCCGAGTTTACAAACGGAAACTTAATTATACCACTTTCAAGCTTTTCTTTGATGAAGTGTCGGTCGACTTCCACATGTTTGGTACGGTCGTGTTGTACTGGGTTATGTGCTATCTCGATAGCAGCTTTATTGTCACAGTACAAGTTTGTAGCTTTTAAGGGTTTAACTCCAAGATCCTTCAGTAATCTCCGTAACCAGAGCAATTCACACACTCCTTGAGCCATTCCCCTGAATTCTGCTTCAGCACTTGATCTAGCCACAACTTTTTGTTTCTTACTTCTCCAAGTGACTAAGTTGCCACCCACAAATGTAAAGTATCCAGATGTAGACCGTCTATCTGTGATGGATCCTGCCCAATCAGCATCTGTGTATCCTTCCGGGTACATATGTGTATGTTTGGAGAACATTAATCCTTTTGCAGGGGCAGCCTTCAAGTACCTCAGAATCCGAGTTACTCCATTCATGTGTGTCTCACTCGGTTGATGCATAAACTGACTCACCATACTTACAGCATAAGCTATGTCGGGCGTGTGTGTGACAGATAGATCAGTCGCCCAACTAACCTTTGATACCTTTCTTTGTCAGTGGGTACTTGATCTGGATACATCCCTAACTTGTGGTTCTGCTCAATAGGTGTGTCAGCTGGCTTGCAATCAAGCATTCCAGTTTCTGTTAGCAAATCTAACACATATTTTCGTTGGGATAGAAATATGCCATGTTTTGATCTAGCAACTTCTATGCCAAGGAAATATTGTAACTCACCCAAGTCCCTTTCATTACTGTATCACTACAGGGCAGATTGGTTTAAGATGAGGGTGACAAGTATAAAGCTGAACTTCAAACTCTCGCCTAATGAATGGCCAAGATGAATGCTTACACCCCGAGTTAAACATAACGGTCAAGATTGAATCTTGCCTCTACAAGTTAGTTTACATTGGGCTTGCTGCACGTTCTGTTCTTTTATTTGCAAGCTCTGGTGTATCTTTAGGTGCCACAATATGGCTTATCATGAATTTTGATGCTTGATCAAGACAAACTTTTGTTTTCTTTGAGAAAATTACATTTTTGTCAATAACTTTCAATTGTTAATAGTCATTCACAATGGTCGAAATAAGCCGCCATCCCTTTTGTGCCAAGCAAATAAGGAAACAAAAAATTGTGTTCGATACATAGATTACATGTCAAACTAACATAGCATTCTCCATTAAGAAGACATCTCTTCTTTCCCAACCCTCCTGGATTGAGAAAGAAAGAAGAGAGACACAAACACATACTACCAAGTTAAAGTGACATTATAAATATCCTCATCAAACTTATAATGCTCCTTTTTTTTCTTTCTTTAAAGCAAAACCTCATTCACACCAAGAAACCCACGTGCTCTCGATACTCACTCGAAAATTATTTGCTCATTATCGGCATCGCCTTCTGTCTCAACTTGAGGCTTGGAAGTAGCTTTGGCACCAGGAGGCTGCTTCTTCTTGATCCCACTTACAATGTCATCAATTCTGAGGAGTAAGCAAGCAGCTTTCTATGACAGTTTTAAAAGTCTGAGCCTTCACGTTGTAGGCATCCCAGATCTGACATCATAATTGTTAGAAATTAACAGCCTTACCGACATAAGAAATTTCATATTCAAGACTCTACGAATGCTCAATTATGAGTATTGGCGTCCACTTTAATATAATAACTGTGGGAACCGAATTAATTTGTAACCCTAGGTCAAATAATTCCTTCCATTTGGGGATTATTTGACCTAATTGGGAATTATTCAATTTAATTGGGGATTACCTAATTAAATAGAATGTTACCTAATTAGATTGAGGATTGATTTGATTCCTACGAATATTCTCAATTAATGGAGGAGTTACCTAATTAAATTAGGTATTGATTTGATTGCTACCTTGATTAGGGATTTGATTTAAATCAAATAAATCAAATCCCTAATTAGTCAAATCTCGCTAAATTGGGGAGGAATAATTCCCTTCCATCTACGGAATTATTCCTCTGAAACCCTAGCCCCCGAGACCTATATAAAAGGATGGCCACACACAAGGGTTGGGGTACGTCTAAACTCTTACTGAAACTCTGCAGAAATTATCTCTCAGAAACCCTAGCCGCCACTCTCTCTCTCCCTTTTACACAAGGCTCCGGCCACCCGGTTTCTACCACACATACATATTCCCGTACCCTATTTTAGCTATCGTTTCTCTATAGATCGATTGAACTGACTTAGGCATCGGAGGGCCTTTGGCCAACACCCCACGGGTGTGGTCCTCTTATTTCTATTCATTTTGCAGGGAGAAAGAGAAGCGAAGAAGACGAAGGAATCTTTCAACCGAATATTCCCGTGAGAGGAAATTTGCTCCCACAATATCGATAAAAATATCGATATATTGACAATAACACCATGGCTAGTTGCGAAAATATCGGTCCCCCAAAAAATCGATAATATCGGCATTTAATACCTTGGGTGCAAATAGCAAATAATAAGGTGCCAATAAAATCACCCTTTAAACTATGGTGAGAAAATTTATTTTATCAATTTTAAAATGTGATTATTTTGTATAATCTCAACTTTTACTGTTCATGAATTTTTACCATGTGCAGTTTGTATATATTTCATAGACTTTTTATCACAGATGGTCCTTAATGTTTACAAAATTGTCATGAATGGCCCTTGAGGTTTTTTTGTGACATTAATAGTCCTTAACGTTATGGTTTTTTTAAAATCATAAATAGTCCCTACCGTTAGAAATTCTGTTAAGTGTGACGTGGAAGATAAGTAAAGCCCACATATCCAATCACATTGTGACATGTGGATGAAAATAAATAAATAAATAATCTTTTTTAATGAAAATTCCATATATTTTTTTCTACAACTTTTCATCCCCCTTCCCCTACTCCATCTCTCTCCCCCTCTGCCCTCACTCTCCACCCTCTGCCTTCTCTCTCCCCCTCTACTCTCCCTCTCTCCTCCCTGTCCTCTCCTTCTCCTTCTATTTTTTCCTTTGCTCCCTCTCTCCCCCTCTGCAATCTGAATGAAAATTATAACACATACATAAAGCATATGATTTTCACCAAAAATAAAGTAAGAGGTAAATAGATAAGTCAGAGGCTAAGCAAATAATGCATTTATTTTTTCCACTCTAAGCTGTATTAAGAACACAAGAAGTACCATATATCGCAAGTTCACTCTTGTTTGGATTAGCCCTTGATGGCCAAGTTGTCCTCTCTTCAATAGGAATCCATCAGCGGCTTTATGTTCCCCCAATACAGGCTTGGAGTGGTCAATAATACAGTGGTAGAGAAAATGTATACCTATATAACAATATCTTTGGGGTGGGTTGCTGGGCATGGGTGGTCGGGTTGTAGAGGCAAGAAAAAAACAGAGGGAGAGGGAGAGCACATGGAGTGAGGGCAGAGGCACTGGCAGACCTAGAATTTTTTTAGCAGAGGTGCAATATTGACTAAGTATGAAAAATGGTTTTTCAGAATAATCATTTTCTCAAGATAATTTTTGGCGGGTTTTATTCCTTACACATCAAATAAGAAAACTTGATTTTATGGGATTTTAGTATGAAGTATATATTGACTTAACGAGCCATCATTTTTAGCCTAAATCGTATTTTGCACTAAAACAGATTTTTCATATTTTGATTTGGTGGGAATTT